TGGTAAAAGTATATAGAAAAATATTCTATTTGTTTTGTCTAACAAGTTGAGTTACTGTGTACTCGAATCGCACTCTTTATTTAAAAAAAAAGAAGTGATTTATTCATATAATTTCTCCACCAAATTCTCCTGAATGAGTACCTTTGAATTTTTGAAAAATATAATAAATTTCTTAAATTTGATATAATTATATAGAACTTCTTTAAAGTTTAAATTTACATAATATTTAGCCTCCTTTTATCAATAATCCGTTAGTTATCGATGAAAAAAAATTATATTGCCATCACTTTTATATTAAAATAAATATTTTATCTTTTTTGTATTTGTATCACACCATTGTATTAGTTTCAGTCACTTTAATCTTATTAAAAAAAGTTGGTGTAATTATACTAAAATTGTAAAATTTTCTATGTTTATTTTTTCAAATCTCAAAAGAAATTAGCATAATTTATCTTTTTTTTTGTGAAAACTAAAATTTCCTTTGTAAGAAATGGAAACACATTCGTCTCTGGTCCATTTTGGTGGGTTGTATGTCTAGTTAAAGCTCCCATAAGTTCCATTTTGATAATCTAATTTATTTAGGACAAATTAAATCAGTGGTCCCTTTATATTTTACTTCTTGTGTTATTTTGGTTCCTACAATTTTAATTGACTCGATTTTGATTTTTAATTTTTAATTTTGTGTCAATTTAATATAATTGATAATATCATTAGTGATTTTAAAGAAAATTAGTACTAGATTGGTCGAGGTTAACTTACTGAGTTAGGTAAGTTATAATTTTGCACTAAAAAACATAGCATATGATATTTATGTGCATATTTTTCATGAAAAAATGGTAAGAATTATAACCAAATGGACTAAATTGGGACAAAGTTATAAATTTAAAGTCAAAATCAAGTTAATTAAAATTACAGGGATTAAAATGATATAAAGACCAAAATACAGGTATTACTTTTGTAATTTGTCTATTTATTAATTTTTTAAATATTTTTGTATGAATTGAGACAATGGTTTTTTTTTTTTTTTTTTTAATAAACAAAAGGACAATAGGTAGTTGGTGTGCTTTGGGCACAAGAATTCATCTAATGAGGTTGAATCCAAGTTTTAATTTGATAATTTGAATTGTTCACATTTTAAAGTATCTCAACTGAATTATATCTTAAAAAATTAAGCTAATGAGACATCTTTAACACTTTCATCAAAATAGATTTTTATCTAAAAAAATAAAATAAATAGTAAGTATTATTTTAAATATAAAATTAATACAAATGTTATTCGATAATAGAAATATTAATATTCGATCACCTTAATTTTTTTCACATATTTTTTATTCAATAAATCTTCAAATCTATACTACTTGAATTTTCAAAATCAGATCCGAAATGGTCCAATTGAGCGAGTGCGGTGCCCTTCTTCCTTAATTGATTAATCTAGTGTATTTTTATTTATTTATTTATTTTTAATAATCAACCCACAATCAATTACAAAATATGAATAGATGAGGACAATTGTGGGCTTGGATTCCACGGACTAAACTGGACCGTCTGTTCCATCTTGACAAGCTGTTCACTAGGAAAAAAAAACCACATACCAACGCGGTATCAAAAGTTCCTCATTTGGCACTCACACCGTCTTTGAATACAACAAGCTTCAACACCATGCATGCCAGCTCTATTTTCTCTACTATTTGCTATATCCCTCTCTCTCATCATTTCACGCGTACCATTCTCTCTCTCTCTCTCTCTCAAAATGTTCACATATATAGGCCTCATAACAACAATGTCTACCACGAACACATCACATTCTCTCTCTCTCTCTCTCTCCCTCTCTCTGCCTCTCTCTCTATGGCAATTTGCATACCTTGTAAAATTTCTATGATGCTGTTAGTCTTCCTATTTGCGAGTTCTTTCATGGCTGCCTCAGCCAGTAACTTCTACGATGACTTTGATCTAACCTGGGGCGATCAACGTGCCAGAATACGCAATGGTGGCCAACTTCTCACTCTTTCTCTTGACAATTCCTCTGGCTCTGGCTTTCAATCCAAAAGAGAATATCTCTTTGGAAGGATCGACATGCAACTTAAGCTCGTCTCTGAAAACTCTGCTGGCACCGTCACTGCTTACTATGTAAAAATCTATCTTTACGTCGAAACTTGTTAGTTATCATTTTGTATAATTTTTCTGTATGATTAATTATTTTTTGTTTTGTTTTTGTTGATGCAGTTGTCTTCTCAAGGACCAACTCATGATGAGATTGATTTTGAGTTCTTGGGGAATGTCAGTGGACAACCATATATTGTCCACACTAATGTGTTCACCCAAGGGAAAGGGAATAGAGAACAACAATTCTATCTCTGGTTTGACCCTACAAGAAACTTTCACACCTATTCAATTGTGTGGAACCCCCAAAACATTATGTAAGTTACATGTTTTTACTTTTCTTACCATGACTTTCAAACAATTCTTAATTCATTGTTATTAAAATTAATTGTTCACTTTCAAATGTGATAATATTGATATTTTTGAAACTATAAAACATGCATAAAGATCACAAATGATTATATCATTCTGTTATTAAACTTCTATATACAATTTATATTGAAATTTTGAAATGCATGAAGTAGATTCATATTGGATGGCATGATGGATATAAGTGCACTTATTTAGATAAGTGCACTTATTTTGGTCACATCACCTCTCTACTTTCTTGTATATCTTTTCGTAAAAAGTTAAAAAATATACTTATTTAGATCTTCCTAAATAACCAAAATAACCAAGTTTAAATTTACAAGACAAATTCAAAATATAGACATTTTTCTATTTTTTATTTTGAGTTAAGCTATTGGCTTATTTCAATGATTTAGACGGTTCATTTTATATATTTATTGAGCAAATTACTCATATAAAAAATCACACTTATCAAAAAATTAATAGCAACAAGATCATATCACATCTATCTTAAGAAAGTGGATATTTAATCTCAGAATTATTCATATTTACAAAACAAATGTAATAGGATAATATGACTGCAAATATTAATCAATTTTAAATATTTACATGAATGATCTGATTTGCATTCTGTATAAGATGAACACGTCATATCACTGAGCTAGGCTCACTAAGCCCAAACAATATAGATCTAATTGGATCATTAATTAGAGAGAGGTCATTTTCTTATTTAAATATATATATTTTGGGTCATAGTAGATACACTATAAAAAAATTAAAGTTTTGGAGACCAAAATTTAGGGACAAAATTATTTTTTAAGAATCAAATATTTTTGTTGCGAAAAATGTCATTATTATATTTTTAGCAACAAAAATTGGACATTAGTGATGAATTATTATCTATTTAGGACTAAATTTTTTGTCTCAAAAAATAAACCATTTTGACATCACATTTTTTTGTCCATAAAACTCTATTTATTAGTGACGTTTTCAAAATTTTGTCGCTAAAAGTTTTATTTTTGACTTTTTAAAACGATCTTTTAGTGACTCGATGATAGAAATTGGTCTCTAAATGTCTTTTGCAACCAAAATTTCGCTTTTAAAAATCAAAATATTTAATCTTCGGTGAAATTAATATTGAGTACATTTCGGTGAAATTAATATTGAGTACATTTCGGTGAAATTAATATTGAGTAGCTATGCCATGATATTTTTATGTCCAATAGTCTCCATAATACACGTTATGACTATATTCCTACCAACAACTAACGTGTTTGATTTCAAACCCTTCCTGCAGTTTCTTCGTAGACAACAAACCCATAAGAGTATTCAAAAACGAAGAGGCCACCACTGGAGTACCATACCCTAAAAACCAACCCATGAGAATATACTCCAGCCTCTGGAACGCCGATGACTGGGCAACACAAGGAGGTCTTGTGAAAACGGACTGGTCCAAAGCTCCATTCACTGCTTTTTACAGAAACTTCAACGCCAACGCTTGTGTACCATCTTCTTCTTCTTCATCTTCTTGCTCTTCCATGACGACAAGCTCTGTGTTGTCTGGTGCCGAGTGGCAGACTCAGGGGCTCGATGCAGCTGGCCGAACGAGACTTCGATGGGTCCAAAAGTATTACATGGTTTACAACTACTGCAGCGATTTGAAGCGTTTTCCACAGGGCCTCCCACCTGAATGCACACGTTAAGCGAGGCGTTAAAACTGTGAACCGGACAAATTTGAACGGTTCAACCATTTTCAAAACTTGGACGAGAACTAAAAGTAATAAAAACCGGATCAAACTGATGGTTTGGACCGGATTCAATTGGTTTATTGGTTCTATCATTTTTTTTTTTTTTGCCCTAGTAAGTATATGTATTGTTTGAATGAGTTTGTGAGATATTATTGATTGTGGTGGTGTTTGGTTGGTTATGCTTGTGAACATTCTTTGTTGAGTATTAAGGAATTGTTTGGGATGGCCTAAATAGGTGTATTTTTTGTCTTTTTACGAAAAGATGTGCAAAAAAGTAGAGAGGTGATGTGATAAAAAAAGATAAAAAGATGGATTATTTGGGGCTTCCCAAACTTTGGCCTAAATAAAACAAATTGTTTGTTTTCCATGTTTCATTGTATTAAAGTCAATATTTACAATGTTAATAATTAAAAAATTCTCAAATATGTTGTTCTAACTTTCATGCCAAGATCTATGATGAACAACAATGTTATATACATTGAACAAGTATTTTGTTTAGTATTCAAAAAATAAAATATATGGATCAAATTTATAATATCTGTGAATTATATTAAATTTAAATTTACAATTGTGTATTTTATTTTGGATACTTGGGTCATAAATCTAATTTTCAAACTACAAGTCGATCAATCTAGGCGCTAATTGTCACGATTCAAACCCGCCCATATAGGTTTAGCATCGTAACTAGCTAGTAATCTGTGATTACCGAAGGCCTGTTTAACAATAATGACAATCATACAATATAAAAGGGCTGGCAGAAGCCAATCAATAATAACATATATCGTTCAATGAGCTGTGAGGATCTGAATAGAAATAAACTTTTATATGCATAGTTATATCCATAAACACTTATGTCCATAAAACACATATACAAGACAAGACACAAGTTAGGGAATTAAATCTCATTATTAAAAACAGTATTAACAAAAATCATAAAACACTCTTTTCACTTAGCAATATCAAAAGGGTGAATTTGAACCACCCAAAAAGCCTTAACACATGTTGGTTTGGAACCTCGCGATGAGGCACAATAGCTGGCTTGACAAAACAAGGATTCGGGTCAACGCCACTAGCTTTGATCTGGTGCTCGATCACCTACAAATATATAGTAAACAGTGAGTTAAAACCCAGTGAATAACAACTGTGTAAAGAGGTAAGGAATGATATCCTTACAATATTTGAAACAGTCGATTATCAATAGAATAGTTGCAATCAATATATTTTTGTCAATCAATCGTTCAATCATACAATTCAATAAATCATATTTGTATAGGTCATGCATGGTACATCGAATAGCAACTATACAATAGGTTTTAAAGACCGAACAATCAATTGATGGCCATCAAACAACAAACAATAGTTCTAAGAATTGGAACTGACAGAGATCTCTGTAACAATAGTGATATCAATATCAATAACAATAGCAATATGCTATGGATGCCACGAATACAGTTCAGAAAATAGGATCATCATTCAGTCAATAAAAAGTATCATTTCAGAAACCAATATAATTTATCAATCATAAAATAAATACAATCTGAACATATCTTTACAACAATGTTACTCACAGTAGACTTATGAAAAACGCGTGCTAATCGTTCGGCGTCCGACCTAAACAAATAATTCAAGCACAATACGATTACAATTACACTCTTACAATCTATTTAATTCGGTTACTTGTTTGTCTTTTGTTTCTCTCATTTAATTCTAATTTTTCATTTGGTTATTCTATATTTCTTCCTTCCATTCCTCTTAAATATGGATGACTAATATTATGAATTAATTAGATTATTAACCTCCAATTAAGATATGTTTAGCTATGAATTACTCAAACTAATTAAATATAAATAATCAAATCATATACAAACCCTTATTAAGTTCACTAATTACGCAATCAAACTTAAATTAGGCTCATACACATTAAACTACAATTATTCAGTCATATTTAAATTACTAAATCAGAAACTCATAAATATGTACATTTTGCAATTTCAACTCCATTTTCAAGCAAATCAGGGCCCAAATAATTAATTTTCACATTTATTTCCATAATCTTAAGCCTAACTTAATTTCAATTGAATTTAATTAATTCTCAATTAAGGCTTAATTTGACTACATCTAATTTTACAAACCTAAATCAGATTTTTAGTTGAATTCATATAAGGCTCTAAATATCAAATTAAACTCATTCTTCCATTTTTGAAAATCAATTTCATGAAACATCCATTTTCTTGAACCCAAGCTCTAATTCATGCTTAATCTCTCCTTAAACTCCATGAATCATGGTTAAAAATAAGTTTAGAACCCAAGTTCTCTTAAAAATATGCCATGCATGTAAGGATTATGAGTTAAATTGATCAATTCTTTAATTTTTTTTAACATGCATGCCCTAAGTTCTCAATTACATGAGCAAATCTTCTAATTAATTATAAATTCAACTCAATTAAGCTTATGATCTTCCTATTTGAATCTAGATTCTATGAATTAATAGTGTATCATTTCAACTTCATGAATTAGGAGGTGGAAATTACCTTAGTTTAATGATTTAATTCAATATGAATTAAGCCCTTTCTTTCTTCTTTCTTCAGTTCTTCTTTGAGCTCAAACTCTCATTTCTTTCCTCACTCACTCTCTCTCTCTCTCTCTCTCTCTCTCTCTCTCTTTCTCTCTCTCTCTCTTTGTGGGTCTTGTTTGGTGTGTTAAATGGAAAACTCAATATAACAAGCAACCAAATACTCTCTCTCTTAATATGTTAAAAACTGAGTAGCATTCTACATTGTTATTGTTATTAATTAATTCAACTTTAAACCATTAAATCATTCTAATCATGTTAAATAAAAATCAAAGCTACGCAAATTAAATTAATCCTCATCATAATAAAATCTTAGTTACACTAAATATAATTATATTAGTGTGAGGCTCTAATTACTATCCTATTATTTAATTCTAACTTGTTAAAATTAGCGAATCAGACTGGTTTAATTCCTATTCTAACCTATCTAATCAAGCAAAGCAAGTCAATAACACATAAGCACTCAATTAACAATAAACATATAATCAATTAATTAAATTATAAGCAAGTCAATAATTATCAAGACAATCAATAACAGTTAAGCACATAAGCACTCAATTAACAATAAACATATAATCAATAGAATTAATTTGCTTAATTAAGGAGGTGATTGTCACACTAATCTGTTAAGCTCATAAGAACACACCTTCGCACTTTGATGAAACTAGCCTCAGTTGCCTCATATATATATATATATATATTTTTTTTTTTGATCGGCAAAACAAAGAAACTTCATTGATGAAAAGCACAGTACAAAAAACAAAACAATTTACATCAATAAAGAAAGGCAAGTACTAAAGCATTACAATGAGCTAAATCATCCCAACTATGTTGGCACCAAAAAGCTCGTCCTATCATTTGTTAGCATCCCCAGAGTTGGTGAGCAACCAACCAAGCAAACAGAAAAAAATAGAACAACTACCAACTACCACCTACAGCCAACCAGTATGAGCAGTAGAGCAAAATTGCAAAGCACCAAACCAGAGCACCAGCATAGACTCATCAGTGCCTCAATGCAGACTCATCCACCAAAACAAACTCAACACCAAAAACAAATACCAGAAACAGTAAACATTAGTGCAGCAGTGCAGATTCAACCCCCAAATCAGACTCAACACTGATTGCATCAATTCAGATACCAGAATCAGATTCATCTCCCAAACTAGACTCCACCCCAATTCATATATTCACTACAGCCCATCAACCACCAAAATATAAACTAAAACATCAATGCATCACAGTGAAGATCAGCAATACTAGGCTCCAACAAAAACAAGACCAATATTACACATTCATAATCAAAAAATCAACAAGGTCTCAATCGATTTGCAAGCCATATAAGCACAGAACAAAACAGATAAAATAGACTGAAACTGTACCTATATGGTAGGTCAGATCATACCTCAGAAACCAGGCCTTACACAGGCTCAGTCACCATTGCTGCTGCAGAACTAAACTATACATACTTCAACCACCAAGCCTGATACAGAACTTAACTTGCTGCATATTATAAACCAAATCCTTCACAGAAGCTGCCAGGCCTGAGACAAACCTTTACCCACAAAGTTATTCTCACTTTCACAAGGTCACATAGAGTTTCAAAGTCAGGTTGAGACCCATTGAAAACACATTCATATCTATGCCTCCATGTATACCAAAGAGTTGCCAATTTTGCCAATTTTGACCATCCATATCTTCTTCTCCAATTTTGGCATTTTGCAGCCATAGTACCACTGCAATAGTCCATCTACCAAACCAAGAAGTGGTAGACCAAAGAGCAGCAACCAAAACTCACCAAATAGCAGTAGACCAAACTCACCAACAAAACAAGTATGAGTCAGTAAAACAAGTATGAGTTAGCAGCCCAAAATGCTACCCACTATATCATAAACAACCTCTACAGCAGATAGCAGCTAAACATACCAAAAACAGACCAAATAGCACCATAATAGAAAATAGACCAAATAGCAGCAAATATCCCTCAACATCAGTTATTTATCTGATCTAGATTATTGATTAAACCCAAGACATAGTACATGAATCCCTTTGCAGAAGCTTTAATCCATAGAGCAAATCTTAACTTATAAGCTCACATAACTCAAACCCACTAGGCTGCACTCCATTAAATAGACAATCATTTCTTAACTTCCAAATGGACCAGAGAACAATAGAAGGTAAGGCCCTCCACAAACTCCTAACCAATTTCTTATGATTCCAACCTAACCACCAGTGAAATAAACAATCAATAGACCTTGGCACCACCCAAAAACACCCCCACCAAAGCAGCAAATCTGACCATACTTTCCATGAAAAATGGACAATGTAAGAGGACATGAGAGGCAGATTCATTTTTAGTTTTGCAGAAGACACATAAGATAGAAGCACTGTTATGAAGGACACCAATATGTTGTAGGAGATCCCTTGTTTTAACTCTATTCCTCTATGCCAACCAACCAAAGAATTGAACTTTAGGACTCTTATTCCAAACAAACTTTCAAATTTTGAGATGAGGGCCCAAAAGAGAATCAGTGAACCTATAAATATCAAATACCTTAAAGCTGCCGTCAATAAAACCCTTCCACACAGCACAGTCTTCTACATCAATACTAAGTGAAGGGGCCTCCCTCAACCCTGCAGCCGAACTAGTGACCTCTTCATTCTTTCAATCATATAAATCCCTTCTGAAAGAAAGTTCCACTCCTCTAAACTGGATTTCCTCGCAGAAAAAAAGGACAGTGTGCCCTCCATGTCATTAGACAAACTAAAGAGTCTAGGATATTTATCTTTAAGGCACCTATCATTAACCCACTTATTATGCCAAAACTTTATTCTACACCCATTTCCAACCTTTATCTGAAACTGCACCAAATAGAACTCCTCAAGAGGTTGATTATGACCTGCAATGGCAAGAACATCTCTCCAAATTCTAGAGTATCCAAATGATGAGTTCACAGGTGGGATCCAATTATTCTCTTCAATCATGTACTTGTTGCACAACAATCTTCTCCATAGAGCATTTACTTCACATCCAAATTTTCACCACCATGTAGACAATAAGCTTGCATTGACATCCTTAATTATCTTAATTCGCAAACCACCCTGATTCATATTTTTGGTTACTTCAGCCCATTTCACCAGATGAACCTTCCTTTTTAAACCATTCCCACCCCATAGGAAAGAAACTTCAAGCCTTTTAATCTCTCTAACCACTCCAGAAGGCATTTTGAACATAGAGAGATAGTAAATTGGAAGGCAGAGTACATAGAGAGATAGTAACACGGACTTAATTAAAGTTAATCTATCTGCAAAGGAAAGGAGCCTTCTCTTCCACCCAGCCAACCTAGATCTTACTTTATCCAAAACTAGCTTCCAAGATGATTTCCTTCCTGGATTAGCACCTAAGGGAAGACCCAAAAATTTGAGTGGTAGGCCATGAACCTTGCAATTCAGAGTATCTACGAAAGAAACCAAGGTTGCCTCATCTACACCAACTCCACACATCACACTCTTGTGGAAATTAATTCTCATTCCAAACAGAATTTCAAAGCAGTGTAGGATCCTCTTTGTGTGCACTATTTGATCCATTTCAGCCTCACAAAATATTATGAAGTCATCGTCAAATTGGAGATGGGATATTACTACCTTATTTACCCTCACTTTTACCCCCTTGATGATGCCTTGCGCATGGGCTCTGTTCATTAAGATATTCAAACCTTCTGCCACTATGTTGAAGAGGAAAGGAGATAATGAATCAACTTGTCTAAGACCTTTCTGTGGTGAAAACTCCTCTGTGGGTGAGCCATTCACTAAAATAGAAAACCTTGTTGTGGAGATACATTCCCTCATTCAGGATATCCACTTTAATCCAAAACCAAAATTATATAACATAGAGAATAGGAATTCCCAATTAATTGAATCATAAGCTTTCTCAAAGTCAAGTTTGATAATCATACCTTTCCTTTTAGTTTTTTTTCCAGCCATCAACTATTTCATTAGCGATAAACACCCCATCCAATATACTTCTTCCCCCCAAGAAAGTAGATTGTGTTTCTCCAATAACTTCAGGAAGAACTCTCTTGAGTCTATGGGCCAACACTTTAAAGAGAATCTTGTACAAACTACCCACCAAACTAATGGGTCTACAATCAGACAAACCAAGAGGAATATCAGTCTTAGGGACAAGAGTGATAAATGAGTTGTTGATCCCATAAGGGAGTCTGCTAGTGGCATAAAAATCCCTCAAAAAATGCATGACCTCATGATGAACTGACCTCCAGAATTTTTGAAAAAAGAGGAGATTAAACCCATCAAGGCCAGGAGCCTTATCACTATTGCACTCCTTAACAGCTGCCCTTATTTCATCTTCAGAGAACACAGCTTCAAGATCATAAAATAAAGAGTTTGATTAAACTGATTTAAATAACCCTCCTAACACTGGTCTTCTTACCCAGCTTTCAGAGAACTGTCTTTCGAAGTGTTGTAAGACCTCATACTTTACCTTAGCTAGCTCCTCAAAAACCTTACCTTCAACTGTGATGGAATTAATAGCATTTCTACTCCTCCTACTGATAGCCATAACATGAAAAAACTTAGTATTTTTGTCCCCATTAATTGTCCAGTTTACTCTAGACTTCTATTGCCATAGCTATTCCACAATTCTACTAAGCTTCCAAACTTCACTTCTCACTGTTCTTCTTTCAATTTTCTCAGCCTCAACCAGAGGTCTACCTTCAGCCAGAATGTCTAGAGCAACTAATTCTTCCTCTGTCTTTTTGAGTTTTGTTGATAGATTTCCAAAAACTTTAGAATTCCATTTCTTCAGCTCCACCTTCAAAAGTTTTAGCTTTTGGAACAAGACATATCCAGCTCTCCCATTAATCCTAGCTTCCTGCCAAACCTTTTCCAATAATGAGGGAAAACTTGGATGGATAGTCCAAGCGTTAATGAACCTAAAAGGTTTAGGTCCCCAATCCCTCTCATCATCTATAAGCAAAAGACGACAATGATAAGAAAAAAGCCTTGGAAGACCCCATAATTTAAAATTGAACTTTAGCAGCCACTCTGGATTAAGCAAAATTCTATCAATCTTACTCCATCTCTCGCCATCTTGAGCATTGCACCATGTGAACTTCCTACCTAGCAATGGTAAATCGTTCAACTCACAACTCTCAATGAAGGAATTTAGATCCATCATCCCCTTATCTCTTCTGAAACAACCCACCCTCTCACCATGGATTTGGGAATGCAGATTCTAGCTTCATCAAGGAGTCCCAAAAATTACATCTGCTACTCACCTAATTTGGTGCATATACATTCAAAATAGTACAGTTAAAGGTGTGCAACAAAGTACCTGATAGGAGAATAAATCTTGTATTACTGTAACAATCCACTAACTGAAAAAAGTCTGGGTCCCAAATGCAAAGTAAACCCCCAGCAGTCCCATCAGAACCCACAACCATAAAATCCATATTTCTCTTGCCCTACAATGCTCTTACCTCAAAACTGATGGATGCATGGAAGGATGGGGAGGAATCTGCAAATGGAAGCCAGCTGTGAATGATCCTCGATCAACTCAGAAATAGAAACTTTCTCTGTCTCCTGAAGAAGCACAACATTAGCCTTTCTTTCATAAATGAGCTTCATAATCCTTCCCCTCTTCTCTAACTTCCCTAATCTTCTAATACTCCAAGACAACAGCTTCATAAGTAAACAACGATACCACCCAACTCTCTATAAAGAGTCCCACAACCCCTATTCTTTCCTCTTCTCCATCCTCATTTCTCTGTCAACTAATTCCAAACCCACCATCTTGTCTAAAGCTTTAGATTCTTTCACTCTTGTGGAAATTAATTCTCATTCCAAACAGAATTTCAAAGCAGTGTAGGATCCTCTTTGTGTGCACTATTTGATCCATATCAGCCTCACAAAATATTATGAAGTCATCGTCAAATTGGAGATGGGATATTACTACCTCATTTACCCCCACTTTTACCCCATTGATGATGCCTTGCGCATGGGCTCTATTCATTAAGATATTCAGACCTTCTGCCACTATGTTGAAGAGAAAATGAGATAATGAATCAACTTGTCTAAGACCTTTCTGTGGTGAAAACTCCTCTGTGGGTGAGCCATTCACTAAAATAGAAAACCTTGTTGTGGAGATACATTCCCTCATTCAGGATATCCACTTTAATCCAAAACCAAAATTATATAACATAGAGAATAGGAATTCCCAATTAATTGAATCATAAGCTTTCTCAAAGTCAAGTTTGATAATCATACCTTTCCTTTTAGTTTTTTTTCCAGCCATCAACTATTTCATTAGCGATAAACACCCCATCCAATATACTTCTTCCCCCCAAGAAAGTAGATTGTGTTTCTCCAATAACTTCAGGAAGAACTCTCTTGAGTCTATGGGCCAACACTTTAAAGAGAATCTTGTACACACTACCCACCAAACTAATGGGTCTACAATCAGACAAACCAAGAGGAATATCAGTCTTAGGGACAAGAGTGATAAATGAGTTGTTGATCCCATAAGGGAGTCTGCTAGTGGCATAAAATCCCCTCAAAAAATGCATGACCTCATGATGAACTGACCTCTAGAATTTCTGAAAAAAGAGGAGATTAAACCCATCAAGGCCAGGAGCCTTATCACTATTGCACTCCTTAACAGCTGCCCTTACTTCATCTTCAGAGAACACAGCTTCAAGATCATAAAATAAAGAGCTTGATTAAACTGTTTAAATAACCCTCCTAACACTGGTCTTCTTACCCAGCTTTCAGAGAATTGCCTTTCGAAGTGTTGTAAGACCTCATACTTTACCTTAGCTAGCTCCTCAAAAACCTTACCTTCAACTGTGATGGAATTAATAGCATTTCTACTTCTCCTACTGATAGCCATAACATGAAAAAACTTAGTATTTTTGTCCCCATTAATTGTCCATTTTACTCTAGACTTCTATTGCCATAGCTATTCCACAATTCTACTAAGCTTCCAAACTTCACTTCTCACTGTTCTTCTTTCAATTTTCTCAGCCTCAACCAGAGGTCTACCTTCAGCCAGAATGTCTAGAGCAACTAATTCTTCCTCTGTCTTTTTGAGTTTTGTTGATAGATTTCCAAAAACTTTAGAATTCCATTTCTTCAGCTCCACCTTCAAAAGTTTTAGCTTTTGGAACAAGACATATCCAGCTCTCCCATTAATCCTAGCTTCCTGCCAAACCTTTTCCAATAATGAGGGAAAACTTGGATGGATAGTCCAAGCATTAATGAACCTAAAAGGTTTAGGTCCCCAATCCCTCTCATCATCTATAAGCAAAAGACGACAATGATAAGAAAAAAGCCTAGGAAGACCCCATAATTTAAAATTGGACTTTAGCAGCCACTATGGATTAAGCAAAATTCTATCAATCCCACTCCATCTCTCGCCATCTTGAGCATTGCACCATGTGAACTTCCTACCTAGCAATGGTAAATTGTTCAACTCACAACTCTCAATGAAGGAATTTAGATCCATCATCCCCTTATCTCTTCTGAAACAACCCACCCTCTCACCAATATTTCTAATCTCATTTACGTCACCTCCCAAACACCATGGATTTGGGAATGCAGATTTTAGCTTCATCAAGGAGTCCCAAAAATTACATCTACTACTCACCTAATTTGGTGCATATACATTCAAAATAGTACAGTTAAAGGTGTGCAACAAAGTACCTGATAGGAGAATAAATCTTCTATTACTGTAACAATCCACTAACCGAAAAAAGTCTGGGTCCCAAATGCAAAGTAAACCCCCAGCAATCCCATCAGAACCCACAACCATAAAATCCATATTTCTCCTGCCCTACAATGCTCTTACCTCACTCTCAAAAATAGAAACTTTCTTTGTCTCCTGAAGAAGCACAACATTAGCCTTTCTTTCATAAATGAGCTTCATAATCCTTCCCCTCTTCTCTAACTTCCCCAATCTTCTAATACTCCAAGACAACAGCTTCATAAGTAAACAACGATACCACCCAACTCTCCATAAAGAGTCCCATAACCCCTATTCTTTCCTCTTCTCCATCCTCATTTCTCTGTCAACTAATTCCAAATCCACCATCTTGTCTAAAGCTTTAGATTCTTTGCCTTGGTAGTTGATGCCCAGGATTTTTCCCAACTGTAAGTTTGTTTGAGCCTCACTTAGAAGGTGACTTCTATTGCAAGAGCTACCCTCAGTTGAAGCAGAAAGTGACATAACTACTGCAGCAGCCCGAAATACATCACATTTAGGGATGGACTTGCTGGATGATGCTTCTTTATGATCATACAAACGAGCTAGGTATGGATATCCTTTGACCCAATGATGGATTTTGTTGCACCAGAAAATCTAACCTGGCTTTTACCTTTCTTACTTAACTTCTTCTCACCAGGTGTGCTGGCTATTAACCTATTTGGATCTGATTTCCCCTTGTCCATGCGTGGTCTTGTAGATACCCACTCAGAAGTAGAAGGTGATTGTGTATTTGGGCCCCTCACAATAAGACCCAAACTGCTATTCACCACTGGTTTGTGGGCATGGCCCAATCTGCTATGCTCCACTGGATCTTGAATAGGGCCCAGATTCACTTCCAGACTAATACCAGGCCTATGACCTGCAGACCCACTTAAGCCCCTAATAAAACCCGGTGTAATAAGTTGCTTCTCAACCCTTAGATTATCATCATTAGCTTCTAAGCTACTCTCTGCCACTGTTGTCTCCATACGCTCCTCAACTACCAAGTTGTTCCCCATGCCACCTTGGGTCTCGTCAATTACTATATCCATCTGATGACTCATTTCTAGCCTATTTTCGAGTGCCATATCACTGGCATTTGCCAACTGAACTTCATCATCTTCATCCTCCACAGCCTTATTATTAACAATCGTATCACCATATCCCACCCCTTCTTGATTAGGCTTCTCTACCTCATTGGAACTGAGGTCTTCCTCAACCTCACTGAGCAATATGCTTTCACTATCAACTAAAACATGCAGTTGTTCTTCACAAACTAGAACTAGATCGAGTCTACCTTTGCATTCTACATTCATGGTGTTGTTGATAAACTTCATACAACTAGTGGTAATTCTAACTCTTCCATATCTAAAGGACTTTGGTTGGCCAATGTTTCCATCTAAACTAATAACACTACCCCAAATGCTGCCAATCTTGTTGAATGTGCCTCTATTCCACATACTCAGAGTGACACCATAACATCTAAGCCACAGACACCTCTCTTGCTCAGCACATAATCCCGGTTCCCAAACTTTGACAAATTCACACCAATCCTAGAACCATGCTTTGATCGATGATAGATTTGACATCGTATCATCTTTTGATAAAAAGGACATCACTACAATCCGACCCCCTCAATTTCTGACCAAAACATGCCCCAATCCTTTCTCTTTTAGCACCGACTTAATACACTGCAAAGAATACTCTCCTTTGAACATCAATAGCACACTATCATACAGCCAGTCGTGCCCTTCTTCATCTACCTGAATGGTATGGGCTGCTTTCTCCACCGAAGTATTGACGCCTGTTTTCAAAACATCAGCAAAGGACCTCTAGAAACCGTATTGATCTGGAGCATTCCTTTCCCTAGCTGCATTTCCATCGATAATCCTTCAAAGCTGATTTCGTCGATTTTCTCTAACTTCGAGTCTACCATACACTGCCATTTTAACTTTAAGCTCCCTATCCTCCACCCATAAACCATCGGCTTTCTGGACTGCAACCTTAGCTGCCACTGAGCAATCGAATCTAACAAAACAAAATCAAGAATTTGTTGCTTTCCTTCTCTTCTGTGGTATAAAGACATCCCTCATTATTCCAAACTTTGTTAATAGTTTATACAATGCTCTAGGATCCATATTGAAAGGTAGATTATCCACAAAGACAAACAACAAGCCATTACTACCCTCCTTGTTCCATGTGTCACTTCTTTTCCGTTGCTTCACGACGGGAATCCACCCACCTTGCTCCCTTGTAAAAAACTTGTTTTGTACAAAAAATTTAAAATCTCATAATTTAAATTTTGTTATTTTATTTTTAAGAAAATGTATATTTTTGAATTCATCCTTTTGAGATTATAAAAACAATATCCATGTTGAAAAAAAATATGAAAATTTTCTTTTTACAAATGAGATATATTTAGGATAAACTGCCAATAGGTCCTAATAGTTAGACTTAATTCCTATCAAATCCTATTGAAAATAAGTATTACTAAGATTGTGGCTAAAATAATTTTTTGCAAATGTTGTTAAAAATTGACAATTAATGACTTTGTTTTTTGTAATGATTTTTATAAACTATCGCTAAAACTTACAATTAGTGATGTTTTTCTGTGACAAATTTTTAAAATTGTTGCTGAAAGTTGAAAATTAGTGATTTTTTTGTAATTATTTTTTTCAACTGTCGCTAAAACTTATAATTATTGACATTTTGTGACAAAATTTTCAAACTATCACTGAAAATTAACAATTAGTGACGGTTTTTAATAATATTTGATTAAAAAAAAAGGCCATTAATTCTCACAGGACCTATTGAATAATAAATCCACTTATTAGGATCTATACCTAAATCTCCCATATATTTATCTATACAGTTTTAAATTAAAAATGAGAACAAATAGGGTGTATCTATACACTTTTAAATTAAGAAAATGAGATGCACTTTTTATATTTAAAAAATAAGGACAAATAAGGCAATCAATTTGCTTTTAATTAATAAATGCTGACATATATATCTATTACTTCTAACTCCATTCCATTCTAAA